AAATCTGTTTTGAGTTGGTTCGACCATATGAGGCTTCCCTTGCATGCTTGTAGTGTAAAGGGCCTTGACTAGCTTTGAGTTTTGAGGCCTTTAACATGTTATGTATGTGATGTTTGCATGGTATGGCACCATTTGGAATGTAATTTCAGTGCATATAGTGTAGTCACACTCTCATAAACTTCACTTCTTCATAACTTTTGAGGGTTGTGTATTATGCCTTGCTTATAGGCCAACATATGTGCATGTTCTTCTAGCATTTTGAGCTCTCATTTCAGCATGTTTAGACCATTATTTTGGCATGATTGAGCTCTATCCAGAGCTGGTTGGACATTTGTGTTATGTATTGCATGCCTCTTGTGTATTGCTCTTTACTAACTTTGATGTCCTTAGTTCTCAACATGCTATGCTTGCATTGTTTGCATCCTTTAAGGTCTTTAGCATGCCACTTCAGCACTGAATTTCTTTTTCCATTTCATTTAAGGGTTGGTTGGCCTTGAGTTTGTGTTTGAGCTTGGAATTGAGGCTTGCGCTTAAATGGCTTTAACCCTCTTTTGAGGGTTCCTTCTAGTCAAAGGCATGGTCTCTCGTATGCCTTAAACCATTCTTTTGGTTGACCTCCTCTCCTTAGATGACTTGCACATTGGACTTAACCAATTAAAGAATGAATTGGTAATGTGAAATGTGTACACAAGAATTGAATCAACTAAAACATGCCAAGATAACATATGTGTGTTGCATTGCATGTGTTTGGATCAGACGTCAATCCAAACACAAGCAATATGGGACGTTTCATATTGAAAGTGATGAAACGTGTCACGTTTCTTTGTGCTAACACCCTTGATCAAGCATGATAGGGTAGAGGCTCTTTGTGTGTTGTTTGTGCATTCATAAACATGGTATAAGCTTGGTTCTTAGCCACCATGCATTGAAAATGCTTGGTTGGTGGCTTGAGAGCTGAGTGCCACGCTCCTTTGAGCTTGAGACATGATTAGGAGAGTGGCAGTGCCTACATTGTCTTGCAAATACATTGTTGTGCCTGTATTGTTCTCTGTTGCAGAAAAACCAAAAACGTGCAAAAGCAACTAGCTAACCAGCCAGTTTTACTAGCCAACCGGCCAGTGGCACTAGCCAAGCGGCCAATTTTAGTTGCTGGCAGCCACTTTTTTTGGCTGGCAGTCCACCAGCAGATTCCTATTTTGAAGTAAAGGTATTCTGGAGATTGGCACAATTTTCAGAGATCAAGGCAAGTGCAAACAGAGGCAATTGACAACATGGTAATGGATTTCCGAGCGAACGCCAACCGAGCATGCATGTCTCCATGTAATTTCTAACTATTTCAATGTGTTGTAACCAATTAGCTTAGATTAACTAGTTGTTCAATTTGTGTTTGTAATAATTAATTAGCTAAGTTAGTTAAATAGTTGGTTTGTGATAAGTAGCTTAGCTTAGCGTAGCTAATTAGCTTATTTTTTCGGACCCTCCATCGAGAGGGCACGTTGTTGTAATAAGCGAGCGTGCGTGTGTGTGTGCATGTCTTCTAACCCCACGTCTTTCTCCCTTTTACTTAACTGCTTACGATGGTTAGTTTTAGGTCATGTTTCAATTAGCATACCTTATGCTATGCATGTTTGCATCATTCATTTGTATTACATGCACCGGGCTCGGCGCATCATTCAAACTGCATTGTATTTCAATACCTATTTGAATACATGTATCAAAGTGGTGCCACTCATATGCCATCTTAGATAGCCTAGCCTACTTAGTTGCATTTTGCATGTGTTGCATTAGACATTTTGTATAGTTAGGAGCATGCATTGTTTTCTAACTAGTTTCCTATTTTGGCTTGGAGTATGCTGTAAGTGTTTACGCTTTAGCATCCTTGCATGAGTGTGAGTGTTGCCATGATAGCATGCTTGTCATGAGGCTATTTGCTTAAGTGATTAAACTGCATAAATGCCTGTGAGTGGAGGCTTTATTACTTGAATTGAAATAATTCATTGAATGTATGTTTTAAGCCCACTTAAAAGTGGCAAATTCAAACCATTTTTGAAAAACAAACATGAGATGTTTTGTTCCAAATTGAGTGGTTTAGTCTATACCTGTGTGTTGTGCGCATCACATAGTAGGATTAGATAAATAAATCGGAATAAGAACACATGTATTTTCAAAAACAACATATCATGTTTAGTAGAGGCCGATCCTTTGATCGGGCGAGCGGGGGTGCTCATTTCAGGACCTTCCCCTCTTGTACCCAAGTTCCCGAGCCGATGCAACTTTGGTGATGACGGACACGTGGCTTTAGGCATGAGTCAGGGTTTCCTAAATTTTCCAAAACAAAATATTTAGGTGGGGACTCTGAAATCTAGCAAAGCAATCCATGTTTGGCGTTTTTTAATTAAAATTGATTTTCCAAAACCAATTGTCGGATTTGGACTCTTTGGTGATTTATCAATTTTACATTGCACTTTGTAAGATTAGATTCAGAACCGTGATAGGAGTCCGAACTGTAGTAGCTAGAACTCAATTCGCGCCCTCTCCGAAAGGGGGGCGCGCGGAGCGAGTTCGGGCGGTTTACAGTGAGTCTAATTGGTACCTAAGAATACTTAGAGTGTCATGAGGATGCAATTATGCATTTAAAAGAGTTAGTCAAAAACTGCTGAAAATAAGGTCCTTGCTCGAGCGCACCTTTGGTTGGTCGAGCGGTCTGCAAAGCTCTGTAAAAATACTGGTTGGCCTTAAAGTTCGCTCGAGCGATGACTTCACTGCTCAAGCGGCCATCAAATCTTATGTACTTTCAAAACCAACAAAATAATTTCCACACACATTTTCAAAACTCAAACTCTTGCATGAACAAATTTACACATGTAATTTTATTAATAAAGATGAACCCATGGCTAATTTTCTAATTTTTAATACAAAAATCTCTTTGATCATTAAGATTAAAACCAATAATTTCATGAATATAATAATTCCAATATTCTTCTTTCTTTGTTTTATAAAACATAAATTAAAGTTATACAGCCCTTTCAAAAATCTTTACATGTAAGAAAATTAAATCAAAATCAAACTAATTTTTGATTCTCAAATATAAATTCTAATTTATTTCCAAATTTAGATTTAATTCATTTTCTTTGTATCAAACCCACAAATTTTAAAATATGAATTAAACTTTCCAAATTTTTGAAAATTTCATGATGTATGTAAAAATAGAACCCAATTTCATTATTAATAACAAAAATCAAACTTAACTAATGAATTACAAAAATCAATTTCTTAGAGTTTCAACTTAACTTAATTTGCAACCAAAACCTTAATTTATGATCATAGATATTCCAAAATGTGTCTAAATTGAATAAAACTTTTAAATTAAATTACATGCATGGATTAAAGATCAAAATCAAACAAATTCCTAATTTCAAAGTTTTTCTTTTTTCTCTTCAAAATATGAGATTAAATTAGTCAAAATTCTTCAAAATCCAAGATGCATGTATAATTAGAGTATTAAACTTGTAGAATTTACTCATCATGTAACAATGAGGCTTAATTTCATGCAAGATCGCAACATCAAACCCAAAATAATTAATTTCCATAACCATGAACCTAACTTAATCTCTTCACCTTTGTTTTCTAATTTCTTCCAAGTTATACGAAATTGAACCCAAACTCATCTTTAATTCAAGTGTAATACAAGGATTCTATAAAATTCAAGCTCAAAATCCTTAGCTTTAATCTTCAATTTGGTGTACAATTGATGAATTCTTAAGCTCCTTCTCTTTTCCCTTCAATCCGTGGCTTTCTCTCTCTCAATGGTCTACTTCAATCACCTTCTCCAGCACATACTCACTCTCTCTCTCTCTCTCTCTCTCTCTCGTATGTGTTTGAATCTAATTTCCAGCACATGTATTACACACACACTTCTCTTGAGGCATCCACACTACACACGTGCACAGATCTAAGCTGCCAGTACAACAACAATATACACATATCTGATTTCTCTACACACCCACACAGGTTTCTCTGCACACCCACGCACAATTACAATTCTAGATTCTTCCTTAATTTGATTTGTGATAAAGATTAGCTTAATTAAATAACATGTACCCTTTATAAATCTTAATTAACACATAATTAAATTAATCATAACCAATCACCAATCCCACATAATCTAATTAGTCTAATTGATTTCAATTGAGGCCCAATTAATTATATTTAATTTTTATCATCCTGAATCAGATTTTTAATCAAACTCCCAAAAGACTCCAAATATTAAATTAAACGTATTGTCATCATCAATTTTGATTTCCCAAACTATTTAAGCTTTCAATTTCTAATCAGACTCAAAATTTCCATCAATAAATTACATATTTAAATTGGACCCCTCATAATTCAATTTAATTCGCAATAATCGCAATTCCCAATATTCATAACTTGATCAACTCCAATTCGGACCCAATTAATAAAATCTCAATTTTACTAAACATAATCGAATATTTAATTAAACTCCCATCAAACATTTTTTTTCAGTGTAACAAAGTTCACAACATGACCAAAACATCATTCTTGCTTTTGTCTCCATAGTTGTGCATAAAAATGCTTCTGTTCTCCAACCTCTTCTTAAACCAGCAGAACTGAATTGGAGCATAAAACTATAAAAATTAAAACCAAAACTCCAACTTAATAAGTTCCCATTATTCACATTCACTCTCATTCACAGGAGCTATGGGAAATCACCGATAAAGCTCCCGATAACTTTGTACAAATGACATTAAAATGTTTAATAACAAATCACTCAACATGGGTATTAATGGTTACTTCATCGAATTTGTTTCATTACATTATTTGGACTTGCAATTCAACTTCTCGAAGATTTGCATACTTTCAAAATACAAAGGCCAAATGAGCATGAAGTGCAACTTTTACTGATCAGAGTACTCTCTACTTACAAAAATAACATCTCAAAATCTCAAATATCTCATTAAGATTTTATTTTCCCTGGAAAAGAAAATGAAAGCAAGATAAACAAAAGAACAAAAAATGGCAATGGAAAAATCCCAAGAGAAGCCTTGGAGAAAGTTTCGACGACTCCGCTACCATGCCTTGACTTTCAACTATTATTCTCTGTAACTATAGCTTCGTATATCAGCAGTGCTGTCAATATCTTAATAACCTTTAAAGGACATGATTCCTAAATGCCATGAGCATTTTTGGTGATAAGAGCAAAACAAATGCCAAGATTGAACCAAAAAACAACACTAATCCTTAGCCCTACAAGTATTAAATCGTGAGAAAGTAAGAACGCAGGCGTATGAAGAAAAAAAAAACTAAGAAGTTCATTTATTCATTCCATATTGAAAACAAAGATAGAATCTGGTTTACAAAGATGAAATTTAACCAAGCGAAGCTAAAATATGCTCAGCAATTGCTACTAGGTTTTGCACGGCAATATTGTCAGCCGTGAAAGGTAATTTACGCTTATTAGGTCCATCACTGAATACAAAATCACAAGTGTCAGCATCAGTAATGGCCAAATCTCCTTGATGGATAGCTTCATTGTTATCTGACCCCACATTCTGAATGGCTTTAGGAATTTCTTCGACGATTGATTCATACAAATCAGTGCAAGTGGTGAGATATTCTTTGAGAACAGGATCTGTTGTCTTGCTAAGTAATTTTTTCACTTGATTGAAAGTAGTAGAAGCTTTAATAAGTGCAGCTTCAAGCATGATACGAGCAAGCCCTGTGGCATCTGCCTTTGCACTGCGAGGGTCTGACCTTAGAGTCGAATTGCAAAGATCGGGATATTCAGATTTCTTGCAGGTATCAGCTATTAAATCCGCATGAGAATGGTAATTTAGACTAAAGAGGACAAAAAGAAGAACAATTCTTGTCATGGTGAGTACTATCTTCACTCCTTTCCAAGAGAGAGTTTTGTAATTTTTATTTTTTACTTTTTGATGGAGAATGTGTTTTACATTGGACAAGCTCGTAAGTATTTAATCACTCAATTGTAACAATAGATAGTAACAAAGCACAATCACAAATAAATGCATATACATGGTATAATAGTAAAGTTAAATGAAACTTCAATGCAATCAATGGTCAGATAAGGTAAGCACTAATAACACAACGCAGAGCACTCATTCGTCTTGTTGTATTCACAACAAAACAGAAAAGGAAAAATATAATATATTTCTTATATATTATAAACATATGGTAAGCTAATCAACACCGGATAGTCTTCCTAATTTTTATATATGAATATTCATGTGTGTAGTTATGAAATTTCAATGCAGTAAATGGTCAAACAAGCAAAATAACGTAAGACATTCAATCCAATTACATGACCACCATATTTGGCCTAATGATTGTATAATACCCTTTGGTCATATTTGATTCACAAAACTAATAGTGAAGTATTAATAATCCTATTAAATTAGTGTGGTATTCACTATCCAATTGGATTAATATCCATTGGATTAATAATCTCACCCCTACCCTATTACTAATAATTCTACAAATTTGTTCGATTAATTATCCATTGGATTAATAATCCTAAACCAAAATGTTAAAACAAACATAGGATAATTGGGCTCACGGATTAATAATCTCAATCCCATGCTCTAATCCACCCAATCAAACATGCCTTTTGTGATATGAAATCTTGGATTCAACTCCTATAAAGAGAAGTTTAATACCCTTCATAGTGGTGTTTATTTCTTCCCCATTATGAAGATTGTTGGATTTGGGCTTGGACTTGAGCTTAGTGGCTTTTTAGGTACGCTTTGTTGATTTTCTAATTTGGGAGATTCTATTTACACCCAAAACATCACTAAATTACAAATCATAATTTTTCAAAATCTCACCAAAGGCTCTAAAAATCATGTTAATCATAGCTATGGAGTCGGTTTTTATTTATTGTGTCTCTACGGTCTTCAATTTCAGTTCAAAATTTCAATTATAATAGATATTCCTACTTTTAACAGATATTTTTCTAAATTCACATATTTTCGATACTTAAACTTACAAATTCATGTCAAACACATAATGTCATACATAATTAAGCATAGTACAGGTTGAGTTATCACATGTGGGTGTCCCCAAAATTGAGGGTCTCTATCATTGTTTTTGAATGCATCATAAGAAACAATGGGATGCTTGGGATGGGTTAAAATAGCCTAGATTAGAATAATTAATAAAATAAAATATTATATTATATTATATTATTTTTTTATTTTTTTACACATCATTTTGTAAAAGGTTAAAAAGTTAACCAAAATAGTATATTCCTCAACGGGCTAATATAATCATTTATTAATTGATTAATTTTACTTTTATTCTCCAAATTATTATCATTTTTTCTACTTCATTGTCAAATTATCAATTTTGTCTATTTTTTTTAATTAATAAGAATATAATTAAAAATATGAAAAAAAAACGGGGCTAATATAATCATTTATTAATTGATTAATTTTACTTTTATTCTCCAAATTATTATCATTTTTTTCTACTTCATTGTCAAATTATCAATTTTGTCTATTTTTTTAATTAATAAGAAAATAATTAAAAATATGAAAAAAAAATTCATAATCAAACAGACCACTAATCCACAGTAGCTAGAAATTTAACGAAATCTAACAACCAATAAACTAAGGCCAACCACTACAAATTACATAAAATTCCCATGAAGAGGAAAAAATAAATAACCCCAAAATGTATCAAACTATTCTTTATATGAGTTGAACTCGCAACCTCATACTATAAATTCTCTAAATTTTCTAGTTTTTGTAATGTAGTCTAATTATAGAGACGATTATATAAATTATAATTGTTGAAAACTAATTTCATAGAGAAAATATTGTTTCAGAATTTGAAAATTATGAATTATACAACAAAATACTTACTTTTCTTATTAATTTGAACAAACTATATCTTACAATCAATTTAATGGGTATTTGTTTATATGATTTAAGTTACAAAAATTATAAAATTATTTTTAAAAATTACACGGGTAATCCTTGCATTTTGTTCATTGTGTCATCTTAGTCTATTGACTTTCAATTGGCTTAATTTTGACCTTGAATTTTGAATTTTGTGTTAATTTGGTCCAATTAATTATAATTGTTAGTATTTTTTATGGAATGCGCATATGAGTAACATGTGTGATGGTTTTAAATGCAAAATTATGAACTTGTTCAACTCATTGAATTTATTTCAATCAATTCAATGATTATTTTTAATGAAAAATCAACGTTATCAATGGGCTTAATTGACACAATCTCAACTAAATAGTCAAAATCGAGCCAATTAAAAATGTATGGCTCAAAAAAAAAATATTGATATAATTAGCATAGTTATTTCTTTTCCCCCTAAATTAAGATTTAAAGATTATTTATTTGTACAACCCTCTTTAATTAGACCACATGAACAAAAATCAATAATTTTAAGTGCTAAATGGAAAAAATCAATAATTTAGGAACAAAATAAAAAAAAAAATTAATGATAGTTTGTAAGATAAAATTGAAATTAGGAAAAAATTATTTATAAGTCTTATTTTGAAGACTTATTTAATGTGAAGTCTTATGAATATTCTTTTAAAGTTTGAAGTCCTATTTAAATAGAAATGTGTTCCTTGAGGTCCTATGAATTGTAAATGAATAATATTAGCATACTATTATACCCCTAATTTGTTTTCCTATTATACATTATTTTTTCATTCATCATATCAAGTTTGGGAAGGTTTTTAGGAAAGACAAGTCTACAGACAACGACTGTGCGAGTTTGTTTCACCTTGATTGCGGGATTCCAGTGCATTTTGAAAATGTTGCTTAAATGGATGTGGATATGGTCAATGATATGATGAAATTTGAGGGTCGTATGTTGATTCCTTCGACAGTTTTCGAGTCCAATTGGTTGAGGGGAAGAGGTATTATTTTTATTTTTTTTGTGCGTGTGTTGTTGAAATATGTTACTGTTTGTTGAAGTGTGCATTGTTTATCTTTAATGGGGCATTTTATAATCTATTGCACTCATTGATAGGCACACTTTGGTCAATATTCCGATTGAATGTGTGTATTTGACATTGTGATGATTGATGTATTTTGATATATTCGATGTGTGGGGTAGTATGTATATGTTCAAGGGTTGGGTTGGAGGTATTTGGTTCTGGTTATTAATTGGATGTCGAATGTGAACCACGTCGCAGAATGGCAATTATACATTGGGACCTGAATGATCGTGTTACAATGCAAGTTATATTTAGTGTGTAACGTTAATCCATATGCACCATGTAGTAGATGATATTTGTGTATTTGTTCGGTTGTATATGTGTTTGGATGTGTATCGTATCTTTGTTATAATCAGTGTTTACACACATGGCATAGTACGTTGCGCAAAATTGTTAGGGATTTGGGTTTATCATTAAATGTGGATTGAATCCCATCACACAATGTTGAAGTTACGCTGGGTTGGGGATGATGGTGGTTCAACGGTGGATGATTGGAAGGTCATGTTGGATTTGGGATGAGAAGCATATGGAAATGTCACAGTGAGTTTGGGATATTACATGTTACATTTACGTTGGGTTTGGGATAAGAAACATATAAGAATGTCACGTTTGGTTTGAAAATGTCATATTAGGTTTGGGATATTATATGTTACATTTAAGTTTTGAATTTCAAATTTTCAACCATATAAATTTGATCACAATCTATGGTAACATTAGATTTCCTATGTATAGTATTGACATTAATCAAGTTATTTTGAATTTCAAAAACATATGGGAATGTCGCGTTGGGTTTGGGAATGTGACATTGGGCTTGAGATGTTACATGTTACATTTACGCTTTGAATGTCAAAGTTTTAACCATATAGATATAATCACAATTTATGGTAATATTAGATTTCCCTTATATAGTATTGCCATTAATTATGTTATTTTGAATTTCAAATTTCTAACCATATAGATATGATCACAATCTATGATAACATTGGCTTTCCCATATATGATATTGCCATTAATTAGGTTATTTTGAATTTCAAATTTCTAACCATATAGATATAATCTTAATCTATGGTAATATTGAATTTTTCATATATGATATTATCATTAATCAGATTATTAATTAATTAATTAAGATTGAGGGTAGATTTGTCCACAAGAAAACCACAAGACCTATTGAGATATAAGTTTTTTCATAGGAACATATCTTCTATAAGTCTTCCAAATAGGACTTATAAACAATTTACCCTTGAAATTAACCCTTTATTAATAAAAAATTTTCTATAGAGGAAGAAATAAATTAACATGAGCATACAAGAAACCTTCTTACGTATTAAATCGTGTTGAATTAAACAGTAAAATGAGGTAATTTATTTATTAGTAAATAATGATATCCCTTATCATCAATAATGTAAGACGTCACTGTTACATTACTCACTAGGGCGAAGGAAAGATTTTAGAAAAAATTGCAAATCAACGAAAAAAAAAAAAACATTACTACATATCAGTTGAAAGTATGAATAACAATTCAATGTGTTTCGTTTTACTTTTTTGAATTCAATTTTCTAAAAATTGAATATTTTGTTTTTTGTGTTTTTTTTTTTGTTTTTAGTGAATATTTTTAAAATTTTAAGCAATTTTTTATTTTTTTAAATGTATCTTACTTAGATTTATCTAGTAAAATATTTGTGAAAAAGTATTTTAAAAAATTAATAAATATACAAAAATACAAAAAAATGTAATAAATTTTTGTTTTTTTTTTTTTTTGTATTTTTGGTATTTAGTTAATTTTTTTAAAAAAAATTCACAAATATTATACTTTTGAGTGTATTTATGATACTAAATTCTTTTTAAAAAAATTACTTAAAATATTAAAAAAATTCAGTGAAAATAAAAAAATAAAAAAAAACAAAAAAGTAAAATTTTCTAAAAATTAAATTCTAAAAATTGAAATCAAACTAAGTGATTGCAAACCTGTGAAATTTTGTTTATGTACAAAAAATTGAACAAAAATGCCCCCTCTTTCTTGTTTTTTCAGTTACCTCTCATCGCTAGTCAATGTTGTTATACTATCTCCCCTAC